GTAATAATAATGGGGAATTGGTCACTTTATAGGAACAGGGCTTTTTTTTTTTTTTTAAGGTTAAGGTTCAAAAAGAAACACGGAATTAAGGCATTTAATCCTGTTTAAAATAGGGGCCTTTTTGTATTGCTATAAGATGGTTTAGATTCATTTTTATTTGTTTTTTAACCATGAAGATTAACTTACTTTGACAGCATGCATACCAAAAATTAAAACCATAAAATCCTGAGTTTTGACAGCAGATGCATCTTTAGATTTGGAGATAAAAATTTAAAAGGTGTTATGTTTTATTCAGGAAGCATTTAGCTGTAAAGTGGTTGATTGTCTAATACTTTTAGTGCCCTGGCTCGGAGGGTGGAGGTGAAGGGGTGTGGGGGGTTGGGGAGGTTCGGGGTCCCGGGGCTGAACCGTCCTCAACGTTTGCAGCCAACCCGGCCCCGTGGCCAGCTGTCTGTTCATCACTCCCCGCACCACTGGGCTCGGCTGTCTTGAGCTTCACCAATTACATGTGCATCATCCCATGTGATTCTTACATTGATTCTATGATAGAAGTAATCTCCGTTTTATAAGCAGAAACTGACCATTCACACGTCTGGGGTTGAGGCCAGTGAGGAGTGTAGCTGATCCTAGAATCCCAAGGCGTCTAAGTGCATCGACTGCTTTTATTTATTTATTTTTTAATTATAGGATGATGTGTAAGAGGAGACACATACAAATTATCAACATTTTGGTTCAGGCTTACTTTATCATTGCAGAAAGAGTCTGAGATACTTGAAACATTTACCAAATACCAACCTGTAGAGACTGACGTTAAGGTCTCATCTTTGATGACTCACAGATGCTCTTATGTACAGTTTCTTCAAAGAGGAGGGTGGTCTTCTTGCTGTATGGTATTTTTAGGTTTGATGGCTATTATAAAATTACCCTCCAGAAAGGTGGCTCAGAAGGTGAAGAATCTGCCTGCAATGTAGGAGACCCCGATTCAATTCCTGGGTTGAGAAGATCCCTTTGGAGGAGGAAATGGCAGCCCACTCCAGTATCCTTGCCTGGAAAATCCCATGGACGGAGGAGCCTAGTGGGCTGCAGTCCATGGGGTCTCGAAGAGTCGGACACGACTGACCGACTTCACTTTCACTTTTCACTTTTATGCATTGGAGAAGGAAGTGGCAACCCAATCCCGTGTTCTTGCCTGGAGAATCCCAGGGATGGGGTCACACAGAGTCGGACACGACTGAAGTGACTTAGCAAACCATTGCTATAGATTTTCTTTTCCTATAAATTTCGTGTGTGATGTGTGGAATGAGAACTATAGTGTCTGACTTTAAGTGCATTCTTAAGTAGCCTTAGATTTCATCTTTAGTTTGTTTTTTAAAGTAACACATTATTTTTTAAAATACATAAAAATTTTAAATAATATTTTTGTGTATAAAGAAGAAAATTAAAATGTCCCCTAAGCCCTCCACCCAAACGATTGCTGTGGACGGTAATAGTGTTGAAAGTACAAAATAAAGTAAAATCTACCTTTCCATCCTCCCCTCCCTACTCCAGTCTCTCCAGTATTGATGTTTTTGTGATTTCTTCCAGAAAAAGAGATTTTATTCATCTCTATCTATTCTCCCATTTTTTTATATGTTAGTATCCTGTGATAAATACTGCTAGACCCCTTGTCTCTTAACTTAGTCGTGGATCTCAGACACATTTTCATTAGCATGTAATCTTCTTAACGGCTCATAGGATTCATCACTGGGGTGTCCCCAGTGTTGAGCTCGCCCTACAATGAAGAGCGCTTTGACTCTTAGTTTTTGCAGTAATCCTGTGGTGAGCATCTTTGCCCATGTTTCTCGAGACACATTTATGTGTCCAGCATAGGCATAATACCCAGTGGTGAGGTTGTTGGACGAAGGGTGAATTCACTTTTAAGATTGAAGGCAGACACCACACGACCCTCCACACAGGTTCTCCCCTGTCGGCCACGATGAGCGAGACTGTTTCCCCAACATCCTTGCCCACGATGAATATCACAGAATGAAAAGGAGAAACAAATCTATTCAAATAGCAATAAAATATAAAATAACTAGAAGAGACTTCATAAGTGTGTGGTATCTATGTGAAAAAAATTGTAATATGCATCTGAGGGACCCCCAAAAAGTCTAGAATAAATGAAAGTCATGCCATGTTCTTGGATGGAAACTTGTAGCATGATGAAAATATCCATTCTCGGCATGTTGACATTGTTAACTTTCTGTAAAATATTGGTTGGCTTCAATTTCCAATTCCTGTGGATTAAAAAGAAAATCAAATAGTCTGAGGGGAGAGTGATAGGTTAGGAATTTGAGATTAATATATCAAACTGCTATATGTAAAATACATCAACAGGGACCTACTGTGCGGCACGGGGAACTGTATTCAGGATCGTGTAATAACCTGTAATGAGACAGAATTTGAAAAAGAACAGATATATAGAGATATGTACAACTGAATCACTTTTCTATATACCTGAAACTAACAAAATGTTGTAAATTAACTGTTTTTCAATTAAAAATGAATAAAAAGAAGAAAGTCCATTCTCTCTCAGCTGTAATTTGAACATGATCTGATAAAAATAGCAGCAAGATTTTTTTTGAGGGGTAATTTGATGAGCTTATTTTAAAGACCACTTGGAAAAACAAATAAACAGAAAGATTCAGAAAACAAACAGGAAGATAGGAAAATTCAGAAAATAATGTGACCAGAGTTTAAAACATAATATAAAATTTTTAAAACGTGTGTATTTATATAAAACATAATATAAAAATTATAAGAATAGATTAATGGATCACTGGTATAGACTTAAATATACTTAGGAATATAATATATGATAAAGACAACATCTCAAGTCAGGAAAAAACAGATAAACTGGGAGTGGATGGGAAATGTTGAATTCATATTTCACAAATTCCTAATGGAGCAAAGATTCACATGTAAGAAATGAAATATGGCTATAGGAATTCAGCAGAGAATTGTTTTATAATACAGGTTTGTTCTATGACCTAAAACTTAGAAGCTCCTGAAGGCAAGATTGACAAGTTCAACTTCATTAAAAAAAAAAAAATTCTTCATGGCAAAACTCATGTTATGCAAAGTCAAAAGACAAACGAATGGAGAGGTATTTACAACTGTTATCACATATAAGAACTGGATTTCCTAATATATTAAGAATTACAAACCAATAGGTCAATAACCCAGCTGACAACTAGGCAAAAATTGTGAATTAACAGAAAAGACAACATAAATAGCATTTAAATGTGAAATGTTTAGTATGAAAAAAGTACAAATTACATAACAAGAGAAATATAAATTACCACCTTCTAGGAATCATTTTTTCACTGTGACAATACCCAGGACATGGGGAAAGAAATGGGCTTCCCAGGCACTAATGGTCAGGGACCCACCTGCAAAAGCAGGAGATGTTAAGAGATGCAGCTCTGATCCCTGGGTCGGGAAGATCCCCTGGAGGAGGGCATGGCAGCCCACTCCAGTGTTCTTTCCTGGAGAATCCCCATGGACAGAGGAGCCTGGCAGGCCACAGTCCATGGGGTCACAAAGAGTCAGGCAGGACTGAGCGACTAGCACAGTTGGTAAAAGTGGATAAAAAGTTGGATTGTAAACATTATTCTACCATTTGTGTAAAAAAATGAGATACGTAAACTTATTTACTTGTGTACAAATTTAGCGATTGTTAACATGTATACCAAAAAATGGATAGTATTGATTGCCTCTAGAGAAAAAAAATCTAAGACATGGAGATTGGGCAGGGATGTACGCTTTTCACTTGAATCTGTTAACTTTTGAATGTTGTCTGCTCTTCTCAAAAAGATTTTAAAATCATTCAGTAGGTGAAAAACATTTATTTTGATATGCAAAACTCTAATCTTGAGTTAATTTGAGTGTCCTTTCAAATAGTGATTACCCTTTTATGCTTTTTAGACAATTACCTGTTCATATACTTTGCCTATGTTTTTTCTTTTTTTCATTGTTTTTCAAATTAAGGAAATAACCCCTTCATATTAAGTGGCTTATCAATGTTCCAGTTTCTCTTTGGACTTTGTTTTGCTCCTGCTTTTTGCTCCATAGCAGTTTTATATTTGTGTGCAGCTGTCATTGTCTTCTGATCCTCCCCCTCCTTCTTTTCCTTCTTTCTTATGTTTTGAGGGGGTGGAAGTGACTTTTCCAGTGTGATCTCTGGGAAGTTTGGCTCTAGATTCAGTTCAGTTCAGTCACTCAGTTGTGTCCGACTCTTTGCAACCCCATGGACTGCAGCACACCAGGCCTCCCTGTCCATCACCAACTCCTGGAATTTACTCAAACTCATGCCCACTGAGTCGGTGATGCCATCCAACCATCTCATCCTCTGTCGTCCCCTTCTCCTCCCACCTTCAATGTTTCCCAGCATCAGGGTCTTTTCCAGTGAGTCAGCTCTTCGCATCAGGTGGCCAAAGTATTGGAGTTTCAGCTTCAACATCAGTCCTTCCAATGAATATTCAGGACTGATCTCCTTTAGGATGGACTGGCTGGATCTCCTTGCAGTCCAAGGGACTCTTAAGAGTCTTCTCCAACAACACAGTTCAAAAGCACCAATTCTTCAGAGCTCCGCTTTCCCCACAGTCCAACTCTTACATCCACACACGACCACTGGAAAAGCCATAGTCTTGACTAGACGGATCTTTGTTGGCAAAGAAATGTCTCTGCTTTTTAATATGCTGTCTAGGTTGGTCATAGCTTTTCTTCCAAGGAGTGAGGCTCTAGATTGAAACTATCCAGTCGTCAGTGCCTATGGATGAGTTTGAAATTAACCAGCTGTTTGTAGGTTTCCCTGAAGATGATAGTTGAGAAGGGGACAGACTCTTGAGTGGGAGGTGACCTGGAGATTTTCTGCTGGGCTGAGTGGCGCGGGGTGTGGGTGGGGCGGGGTGGCCAGGTCGGTGGGTCTCTGATGGGCCTCCCCCCTCTCTCTCCTGCAGCTGAGCTCCCGAGGGCCTCCGCCGTGAGGCTGGCCTCCCTCCTCGACCTGCCCACCCAGCTGCTGGAGCTGTACCAGCAGGGCTTCTCGCTGGCGGCCCTGCACCCCTTCGTGCAGCCGACCCCCGAGAGGGAGAAGACGCCCCTCGAGCACATCTTCAGGGCCATCTTGATCAAGAAGACCGACAGGTAAGCCCCCTGAGGGAGGGTGCTCGCCATAGCATCACCAGGTGCTTGGGAGTGCGTTGGATGGAGGAGGGGATGGGAAAGGGTTAGGGTGGGGGCGTGTGTGTTTGGGTGGCTGCGCTGGTGCCTGAGACAGTAAAGAATCTGCCTGCAATGCGGGAGACCCAGGTCAATGCCTGGGTCAGGAAGATCCCCTGGAGGAGGGCATGGCAGCCCACTCCAGTATTCTTGCCTGGAGAATCCCATGGACGGAGAAGCCTGGTGGGCTACAGTCCATGGGGTTGCAAAGAGTCAGACACAGCTAAGTGACTAGGCCCCACACATGTCTGTTTGGAGTTTACCTCTGTTTCCAGGGCCTCTGCCCTCTGACGAGTTAAGACCAGACATTAGACAACTGAAGAGTTTCATAGTGTCCTGCAGCTGTCCACACCAGGAGACATAGGTAGAGAATTAATTTTACAGCCTTTTCTTCTTTTAATTGACTGGATTACACTCAGCTAGAAAAGTGTCTCCTTGAGGATGTGTGCTCCTAAAATGAAGCAGCTAGTAAAAGTATAATATTCTTAATCTGAAAAGCATGGCTGGAGAACACACTCATTTTGGTTAAAGGCTGTATGCAAATTTTATGTCTTCCCCCAAACTCTAAAAATACTTGAACATTCTGTCAGTACATTCTATCAGTCCCTTGGGAGGAAACACAAAATTCACTTGAATTAAATGCTGTGATTGATTTGGTCTTGATTTGGATTTTCAAGACTTGGACTGATGTTTTTCAATATGGCTTGTCCAGTAATGCCCACTCTTATACTTTTATTGGGTCTAATTAGGAAATGGAGAGGTGGAGATTTTTTTTTTCAAAAGGAGCTGTATGAATTTTAAATGCTTTTAAAAAAATAATGAAGGGGCACGGAGGGATAAGTTAGGGGTTTGGGGTTAACATGTACATACTTCTGTATATAAAATGTGGCTTCCTGCGTCGCTGTTAACAGTAAAGAATCTGCCTGCAATGCAGGAGCCTGGGTTTGATCCCTCGGTCGGGCATGGCAACCCACTCCAGACTTCTCGCCTGGAGAATTCCATGGATAGAGGAGCCCAGTGGGCTACAGTCCATGGGGTCACAAAGAGTCAGACACGACTGAGCGACTAGCACATTCACTTTCACATATAAAATAGACAGCCACCAAGGACCTACTGTATAGCACAGGGAACTGTACTCAAGATTTTATAATTACTTATAAAGGAAGAAATCTGAGAAAGAATATACAAAGGATTTATATATATGTGTATATGTAAAACTTTGCTGTAGGCTTGACACTGATACAACATTGTAAATCAACTCTACTCCAGTTTAAAATGAATAAATCAAAACAGTGAAGATGGGCTCGAAAACGCATTGTATTTCTGCTGCTTTCGTGAAAGTAAAAATGGAAGGCTTGGCAAAGGAGATCGGATCTGACTTTTGGCCAGTTATTAGGCGGGCAGTGACAGCTTGTGCTGTGTTTTTAAAAAAGAGCCAGTAGGACAGCTGTCTGTCTTTCTCTCTTGCTTTGCCTGCTGAGCAGACTTTTGGCTGGTGATCTCAGGAGGGCCAGCTGGGGGACCAGAGGCTGTGTGACAGAGACCCACCCCTCTTTCCTGGCCAGCAGAGTTCTTCAGCTTTTCACAGCTGATCAAGCCCCGTGTCAGTGTGTGTTAGAATTTGAAGTGAAAGAGGGCGTCCGCCTCTGCTCCTGCCCAGAATTACCGTGGTTTCTGCAGAGCGAAATGTGTCTCAGCGTCTGCTCTTTTTGCGTGTTGCTTGCCTCGTGTTGAACGGCCGTGGGTCGATATCTGGTCGGTCACAAGATGGAATTGTTCTGGGAGCCCTAGTGGTTTTAAGGCCCTCTGACACACAGGCGTGCATGGTAACAGTAGGTCACATTCATTGGGCGCTCACTCTGTGCCAGCTTTGTGAGCATCCGAGCATCCTCACAGTAGTACCTGTTCTCAGCTACCAGTGAGACAGGTACAGTTTGCATATGCGGAAGCTGAGGCGCAGGCCTGGAGGTCGCTATCAAGGAGGCAGAGACGGCAGCCAGCACCCTGCCAGGCTCTTAGCCCTGACGTGAGGCGCCTGCTGCTTCCCCGACTCAGGATTCCTGTGGCTGACCTCTTCATGAAAAAAGTGGAAGGGGGCATCTTTGATTTTTAGATGACGGTAATTTCAATGCTCTACCTTTTCTCCGTATCAGAGTTTCGGAAAAGAGACAAAATAAGAGCAGCTTATCTTGTGCCTTCCTGGTTACCTAAGGCATTCGCTGGGCTCCAGGGTTTCTGATCCTTAGGCCATTGCGTTGGTCTCGATGTGTGAAGGGGACAAGTCCACTTCAGTCAGGACACAGGACTGCCCCTGTGTGTAATTCTGCCACAGGTACTGCTCACACGGGACTTGGCATGAAGTCAGCAGATCAGAAATGAACTTGATCCTAATGTGAAGGTGTCTGCTTTTTTTTCCCTCTGCTATGCAGCAGCACTTCTCAAATTTGGGCGTCTCTCCCGTGAGTCTCCCGCAGATACTGCTCAGATGCAGAGTGTGAGTCAGAAGGTCTGGGGTGGGGCCTGGGACCCATCTCTAACACGCTCCCAGGTGGTGCAGATGCTCTTGGTCCGTGGACCACACTTAGAATAGCCAGGGCCTGAGGACCTGACTCCTCCTCACCTGACTCCATACCTGACACTCGCCAGCACCTCCTGACTCCCTGGAGAGTACTGGGCCCCAGAAAAGGGGAGAAAGAGTCCTGGGTTCCTGGTCGGAGCAACTGTGTTCTGCGCTGCACTTGGCTCCTCGTAGGAGGAGCAGGACACATGTGCAGGACACATCAGTAGATTTTTCTGAGCCCCCTTTTTCTAGCGGGTACGATGTGGGGTTTGTACTAAATGATTTGCGAAACCGGAGCCAACTCTAAATTTCAGTGCGACTGGATGAGGTGGGCGAGAAGGCTGCTCTGTAGGAATAAGAAAGAAGTGATCCCTCTTTGTGAGCAGTTTGTTACCAGCCAGTGGTAAAGCTGGGCGTTCGGTAGGAGTTCTTTCCTCCTCCTGAGGGCAGGCCCTGAGCTAATGCGCTTACTTTTCAGAAGAGAAAATGGGTCAAGCTATTAAGAAGGAGACACGGAGGATTTTCAAGAAAGAGATGGTGTGCTCCTTGGTGTGAGTTCACTCCAGTCCGGAGTGTCTGGACCACCTGCCTGGGTGACTTTAATGAACACTTCAGCTCCTTAATAAGCAGATACAGAGAGAGAATTGCTTGGATATCTTGGTGCCAGATCTTTGCAAGCGCTCCTCCCCCTTTAAAGGAAGTTGCAGAAGCTTGGTAATTTGCCAGGTTCGGTAACAGCCATGGTAATTTGCCATTCTCCTGGAAAACATGACCCAGAGAATTTCCCCTACTTCCACTTTGTATTGGTGGGAAGCAGTCATTATACTATTTTAAAGTCTAGGCATTTTCTGCCCTAGCAAATGCAATAACTCCGTGTTTTTGCATCATGAGGAAAAAGACCCCATGCTATGAAAAATAAACAAAACCCAGCTGCACGTTTTCCATATCAGTTGGGAGTTTAAGTAGTAAAAATGAAGCAAAGGAGATCTTATGTAATTAATTTTTAATATGGGCAGTTAATGGTATTTTTTCGCCAAGTCTGCCAAAGTCTGACGGCTATAGATGCAGATCAAATGATAAGCTCTCAAAGAGCAGGTGAATGCCTGACTAATATTTTCCAAGTGGACTTCATTGAAAGAGTGTGTGTAAACTTTCTAGATTACTCTCTGCTTAAATCAACTTTGTTGGCAAGAATCATCATGAGATGACTACTTGGAATATAAACCTTAATGTGTTGAAGTGAAAGTCGCTCAGTCGTGTCTGACTCTTTGTGACCCCATGGACTACATGGAATTCTCTAGGCTAGAATAGTGGAGTGGGAAGCCTTTCTCTTCTCTGGGGGATCTTCCTGAACCCAGGGATTGAACCCAGGTCTCCCAAATTGCAGGCAGATTCTTTACCAGCTGAGCCACAAGGGAAGCCCTAATGTGTTGAAAGGTGAACATAAAGTTTGTAGCAAATAACTGGCCTTTGGAATCTGCAGTAAGACAGGGGGAAAAAAAACCCAGAACCACTGAAGCTTGCATTCACCCATTCACTCCCTCATGGATTCATTTGCAAGCATTTAGCTTGTGCTGTCTGCAGGGTATCATCGTAGGGACTCTGCCTGGTGAGAAAGGGGAGGATGCGGATGCAGGATTCAGCCAGTGAGACCTGCTGGCCAGGTATGTGTGTGCCTACTTGCTCAGTCATGTCTGACTCTTTGAGATCCTATGGCCTGTAGCCCAGCAGGCTCCTCTGTCCATGGGATTCTCCAGGCAAGAATACTGGAGTGGGTGTCCTTTCCCTTCTCCAGGGGATCTTCCCAACCCAGGGATCGAACCCAGGTCTCCCTCATTGCAGGTGGATTCTTTATCATCTGAGCCACCAGGGAAGCCTTCCAGGTGCCTGCAGCTTAACTGAGAAAATAAGATGCCCCTCATGCAAGGGAGTTTGGAAAAGGGGGAACTCACCTCCTGCTAGAAAGAAAACTGCAGAAATGTTTCAGAAGGAAATATTTCTTTTGGATAGTAATATGAATGAAGAGGGAAGAGTTTATTTAAGTCTTACAATGAAATATTTTCAAGTGAGGTTTGAGCAAATTGAGAGCATCATTGACAGCCTAATTGTATTATTCAGTTCAGTCGCCTAGTCGTGTCCAACTCTTTGCAACCCCATGGACTGCAGCACGCCAGGCCTCCCTGTCCATCACCAACTCCACGAATTTACCCAAACTCATGTCTATTGAGTCAGTGATGCCATCCAACCATCTCATCTTCTGTCATCCCCTTCTCCTCTTGCCTTCAATCTTTCCCCGCTTCAGAGTCTGTTCCAGTGAGTCGGCTGTTCACACCATGTGGCCAAAGTATTGGAGTTTCAGCTTCAG